GGTGGGGCGGGGTGGGGTGCGGGGGGGCCCGGTGGGGCTCAGTCGGGGCAGGGGGATGGGGGGACCGGCCGGTCAGTGAGCGGCGGCGTGTTCCCGCAGGTACCCGCTGTTCCAGAGGGGCGGCCCGCAGCTGCGGATCTTCCGTCCCAACTTCTTCATGCTGTTGGTGCGGCCCGGCGTGCCCCAGCCCGAGGACACCGTGCAGTTCCGCGTGTCCATGGAGTGAGTGCGGGCACGGCAGCCGTGGGCTCAGCGCTGGGGGCCGAGTGCCGCGGCAGCAAAGGGGCTCCTGCGGCCCGCAGACCTTGCAGAGGGCGGCGAGGGCACTGGTTTAATGAGGAGCCTTGCGTGGCTCCTCTCCCCCAGTGTTAGTGAGGCTCAGCCTTCCCAGGGACGGGCTTGGGAAGAAGGAAGTGCTTGGAATTTGATCCAGAGTAAGCAAGGTGGTATCCAGTTATTTGTCAGGACTCTTCCAGCCTGACCAGTTTGCTGGCACACATTAGAGCCTGTAAGACTGTGGCGGGTTCTGGTAAGATCAGCAGCTCCTACTCAGAGTAAAGAAAGGCATCTCAGGCTGGGCAGTGAGAAAGCCTGATGAACACTGAATATACCTGGCATTTTGAATGTTGAGGCTACAGAGGATAAGTATTTGACAGTTGTTACAGTTTATGGATCATAAATCGCTGTAGCAGTGTGTGGTCTAGGTTGAGTTTACACTTTCATGTTGTAAATCTGTCTTGGTTAAAGCAAGAAGACATATTTATTCCTCAGTATCAACCAGTCTCTAGTTTATTTTGTTTCAGTATTTACACTTTTTTTTCTTTCTTTCCCCAAAATGTTTTTTCATTGCCTAGAATGACAAAATTGGATATCAGGAATTACCTTCAAAGAATATACAATGTGCCAGTAGCTGCTGTGAGGACCAGGATACAGTATGGTAAGTGCAGTTGAGTAATGCAGAGGGATGATTCCTGTGCATCCCTGTGCAGCCAGAGTAGACTTTTATCTTCCAAAAGGTCTGTCAGATTTCAGCAGACTTTGGTTCCAGGTGCTTAGCTGGTGATGTCTTGTAGCATAGTTGTTTATTCATCCCTTCAAATACTGCACCACTTCATATTTGAATGCTGTGATTAAATTATGATGTAAGTTTCACTCTAAAAAGAAAAATATGAATTAAAAAAGGCTGATCATCCTGACAGTTATCTAGCTTGTGCTTTTGCAATTGGTACTTGGTGATTGTTTCTCCTTGAAGACCAGTGGGTGTCTCCCTTCAGAAGGAACTGCTTCACCTGTTTTAATGCAAGTAGTAATTAAACAAATTCAGCTGTAGCCTTCGTTTAAAAAATGAGCTGATATTAGCTTGCATGCACACACAGGAGGTGTTATGGTCTAACAAAAGGCAAAGTTTGTAGAGCAAAGAAAAATGCTCTGTTGAACCCATTGATAATGCCAGAAAAACATCTTAACACAATTCCAGGTTGTTATCACCTGTTGTTACCAGATTTCTGCTACAGACTGGAATGTTTCCACTTGTGGTATTTGTCTCGTGTCCAACCCCTAGAAACAGCAACAACAAAAAACCACCCAAATGTCCACGAAGAACCCAACAAAAAAACAACCCAAGAGAAAAAGAAAAAATGTTCCTAGTTTAACCCATGCTGAATTCTGACTTGGAGGCAGAGGGATTCATCTCTGACTCAAGTAAGATAAATTTAGATAATGTCACCTTTACATATGAATGCTTCCTTCCCCAGAGCTTCTGTGACTGCAGTTAGGAATATTTTTCTTTTTTTTTTAATGTTAATTTACATTTTTGATTACCAGGCAATGTAATTACTGGGTGGTGAGTGACTTGTTGGTTAAGACATCTTTGATGGCTGGGTTTTTCATTTTTCATGTAGTGACTCTATGAAAGGAATTGTCTGTTTATGATGGTAAGATAAAGGATGATTTTAAAAGGAACAGGAAAAAGGACCCTGTAGTAGTGAAAAATGGAGGATGAAAGAAAAAGCTTCAAAATAAGGTTGTAAAACTCTTAATTTACAAAGGAAGAACCCTTAAAAGGAACAGGAAAAAGGACCCTGTAGTAGTGAAAAATGGAGGATGAAAGAAAAAGCTTCAAAATAAGGTTGTAAAACTCTTAACTTACAAAGGAAGAAAAACCGTGGAAGTATCATCTGTAATATGCTCATGTGAAAACCAGAATTAAATTAAGTCATAAATACCAAACACATGTACTTCCAAACAGCACTGAAAAATACTTATGCTTGTTCTTATCACCATTTTGTCCCCCTTTGCTAATTTTAGGTGATGGTATATAGTCAGGGATTAAACAGGGTTAGAACTCCTAATAATCTGAGAGCTTTAGTGTCTGCCTAACATGTAGGGGTGAGTTGTACTTCCCACTTCAGTTGTGACCAGCATGGCTGGAAAAGGTTGAGGTGCTTTAGTTTGTTTGGATGTGGAATATAATATCCTGGTGTATAAACAGTACATCCAGCTCGTCAGCTGAATAGTAAAAATTGTCAAGTTTAAGGCTACTTAGTGGTAATTTTCTCATTGTCTTCCTGAAGCTGTGGATGTTTGGAGAGCAGTTTATCACCCCTGGCCCCTACTTGGGAGACTTCTCCTAGCTTCTTTTCAGACTTTGTGTGTGAAGGCACAGTGGCAGCAGGCTGGTGATGCCTTCTTTCCCTCCTTGTAAACAAGGACAACAGTGTCCACCAGTTTCAGTGTCCTTTAATAATTGTGGTCCTGTGCTGGTAGTGAAGGAAGAGTATTCCTCTTAACAAATCGGAGATGGCTAAGTCCCTCCTTCAGCTTGGCCTCACTTTGGGGCATTCAGAAGTCCTGGGAAGTAAAAGGTGGGATTTTCTTCATTCCTACAGGTGCAAACAACAAGAGGAATCACAGGAATCAAAGAGTGAAGAAGCCAGATTACAAGGTTGCCTATGTACAGCTGGTGAGTTAACATGGACACTTGGGAGGAAAGAGGAAGGCACTGTTAACCAGCCAGCTGAAAGTAATGGCCAGTGAGTTGTCCTGGTTGGCTGAATATTTCTGCCAATCCTGTAATAGTGAGAGTTTCTTTAACACATTCCAGAATGTAAAGAGATTTAAATGACTTGATCTAAAGATCAAATTCAAACAAAATAAGTCCCATGTTGGTTTGAGGTCTGTCTGTAGGTTGTGGACTGATGTCATAGGGTGCTGCTTTGCCAGAGAGTTTCATGCTGACCCTGTACTCTGTGTGCTGGAAGGTTCACAACTTGTGTGGTTGATTGCTGAAATGTCCAGTAAGTGAAAGAATATATTGTGAGGGTAGGGAACTTCTTATTAAAGGTCTTTGAATTTCAGAGAAGACTAGGGCTTATTCCTTGGAGAGCCTTTAGTCATGTCTAAACAAGTTTGCTTTGTGGCTGAACCGGACTCTGAAACATACATTGGTTGGCCAGTGGAAAAGGAGCTTCATGTTCTTGTAAATTTCTTTCATAGCAGGACCAATTTATAGTTTAAACTTCTGTCAGGCTTACCTGTCTTTATGCAAAAAAGAAGTGCAACCAGTGACAGAAAACCCCTTCACATACCAAAATGACATTAAAGGGATGGTATTTATGGTTGTAAAACCATAAGCTCAAAATTGCAGTTGGCAACATAACGTCACTGTTAACTCTGTCTTGGGACAAGGATTCAGTGTTGGAGGAACACTCTGACCCTAAACACTGGCTAAGCTTTCATATGGACTTGGGGTCAAACTCAAGAGGCACAAACAATGGGAAGTCTGATTTTTAATATTTCAAAGTTTAAATATGCTTAGAAGTTTTTTTCTAAGCCCCTTCTGGGAAGGGGACTAGAAAGAAAAGTAAGAACGGAGTGTTTTTCTAGACAGCCCTTACCTAATTTAAGAGATATGTAAAGTGCAGTGTTACTAAAAAGTAACAGTTATATTTAGATGAGGAGTTACTTTGATTTACTCTGCTGAAGTTTAAGACAGCCTCATCTCTGTGAGGATTTTACATTACTATGGCTAAAACACACATTGCTTTTTCAAGGAAGAGTTTGCTTTGGTGAGCAAATCCTCCCACCTGGACTGTCTGTGCTAGGTTTTTATTTGCTGGAAAGCAGGACTGTATGATTAGGAAGTGAATGCTTGAATTGATGATGTTTTATCTCACAAGTTGCTTTCTCTGAGTGTTGTTCCTTTTAGTAGGTAGTTGCAGGCACTTTCCATTGCCACAGCCTCCTGATAGTGACTTCCTTGCTTTTAGAAACTTGTTTCCCAAGACTGAAGCAGACATAGGTCTCTGGTGAACTGCAGTTCAAATTTTATTTCACTGTAATGCAGTCTTGTGTCCTATGTCTGCTGAGGTAAGAAGGAGTAGTCTGCAACCCATAGTTACTCAGGGGGAAGGAGTGGGAAGCAGAATGCTGCTGCTCTGTTGGAGCAAGAGGTTTAAGGCAGTGCCTTTGTACATTTATTTCACATTCAGCCTCATTCTAATAGTTGCCATAACCTTCAGGGTTGGTCAGCCCAGGTGTGGAGATTTACCTAAACTAGCTTGGTATTGGAGGCAGGTGCACAGGAGTAGTTTGGTTGTTCTCCAGCCTCCCATTTTGTCTTCCGGGCAATGCACAGAGCCCTGTTCACTGTGGCTGAGCTCTCATAGTACATGGGACAGCAAGAGTCCCTTGTTGCCTTACACTATAGTTACCATAATAAGTTGTTAAGGAATGTCCTGTTTTCCATCTCTTCCATGGACAGGGTCGGGGGACACTTTTTGGTGGTGTTTTTCATCAAGGTCAAGGGAGGGAATCCTGACCATTTGCTAAACTCTTGCCAGTGAAGCTTGGTGTCTGTGTTTTTTCCTCACCTCATTCCTGGTCTCTTTGGTCTGTTTTTTCTATTGTTGTCGTGGTCTGTTAATTCCATTAACATTTAGGTTTCTTTATTCCTCCCCCTTTCTCTTTTTACTTTTGTTTGTTGCTTTTCATCACTAGCTCTGATGTCTCAGACAATGAGCTCCCAGCTCTGTGTTCACACCAGCTTGAAACAGTGGGTGAAGCCAGAAACCCAGAGTAATTTCTGAATCTAAAGGGTTTGCCTTCGTTCTCATTCATGGTGTGATCAGGCCATTACAGGCCCCATGCAGTCCATTGTTACTATCTGCCTAATTTAGGAAAGTCTTTGGTAACCACTGTAAAATCCTTATTTTCATGAGAACTAGTTTGCAACTGCCATGAGTCAGAGTAGCTGGGCTTTCCCACCATTTTTACCAGCTGTGTTTTCTCTCATTAATCCAGCTTCAAGTTAAAACTGCTTATGACTGGAAAAATACGAATGTGTTTTTGGAAGCTCTTGGGTTGATCTTTCTGTTGCCCACTAGGTGGAAGTATTGCTCTTTCCAGTGTGACAGTGTGCAGCTGTGGTGCAGTTTACCTGAATGAAATTGGGTTCATTCTCATGAGCAGTGTTGTTTCTCTGCTTCATAAACCATCACCTTATGTGTCCCAGCACAACACACACATCCTTTGACTTACTGCAAGTGTCTCAAAGGTGGAAGGTGTATGAAGTCATAGTCAACATGCCCTTAGGTGTCAGACTAGTGCCCCAGCTGTTCCACATGTAAGCATTGTTGTCCTTTCTTTTCCAAATACTATTTCTTGGAGATTCAGAGCTGTTTACTTTATTCTCAGGCGGTAACTGGACAAATAAGTGATCTGTCCAAGCATAATATTTTCACACTAAAAAAATACCTCAAATCATAGAAGGCTGTGGATCAACATTATCTTGCCATTCCAGAGCCTGCTTGCCTTTTTTCCCCTTTTGGAATGTGGTGAGAAAGGTTTAAGTTAGAGACTTATGGCCCTGTGTATCAAATGCTACTTTTCTACACTGTTCTATTTTTTAAATTAAACCCAAGTTTTATATCTTTGCAAACGAGATAAAATATATGTAATACAGCAGCTTTTCTCCTTACTCCAATACAGCTATAATTATTATAATGAAAATAAAAGAAAAAAAGAAAACCAGTGGGAAACTTTGCAGTTGCCTTAACATCAGGGAAATTAAAAAAAAACAACATCCCCTCCTTCTCCTCCTTCAGTGTTCTCACTGGTTTAGCTTAACAGGTGTTAGTACCCGTGGGAGCACAACTGTAGACAAGCCTCTGGAATCCAGACCTATTTTTAATTAAACCTGTTTTGAGAAATTGAGTGGAGATGGCTGTAAAAAGGAGTCTGACCTTGTCAGCGTTAGGACTAACACCTATTTAGCTGCTTGAATGATGGCACCGGTGGGAACATTTTTGCAAATGCTTTCTCCTCAACCCCTGTTTAGAGTATCCTGTACATTCACAGTAGTTAGCCTGTTTGCACATCAGATGTGACAGCAGTTTTCTTTTGAATTCACAGGAAACTTGGATGATCCATATACAGTGTTGTTCCTGAGTGGATTTTTGAAGTTGCTTTCTGTGCTGTTTTGCCATACGTTTTAGCATCAGATGTTACCACTGCAGCAGTAGGGGAATTGTTCAAATGCCCTGGATTATTAAACTTAGCTGCGTTTGCTGCTACTGCTGGACTGAATCCCGTGCTTTTGGGAGTCCAACATTTTTGTAGTTAATAATACGATAAACAACACTTTTCTGTTAATTCTGAAGGACAGTAGTAAGTGCTTCAATTATCCAAATAACCAGAAGATCTCACAGTTGTTTACATGATCGGTGTTTGCTGCATCATTGCTGCACAGTAATATCTGTGCTGATCTTCCATTTCTAAACTTTTCAGGGGACTTGAAGGTCAGAGAAGTATAAGTGAATTTATGCTGGATAATCCTTCCAGCAGTTTTCTGACGTGAGGCTCAGCAGTGGAAAGGCCAGCACTTGACTTCATAGGCTTAGTTATGGTCACTTAACCTCTCAGTAAAATGAATGGAAGCAATCTGTGCCACTCCTGTGATGACTCCTTAGACAGACTCCAAGAACAAGGTGTGTTTTCACTCTTTCTTAGGACAAAGGCGTGAAATCTAAAGGGAAAATAAATGTTTGATGCTTAGGTCACTTTTGTGAAGGATGTAACTAGCATTTAACAAATGAATCCTCATAAGGCCTTGTATACAATTCACTTTTACTTTTGGGTAATGCTGAATTGAGGATTAGAGGAATAGCGGTTTGATGGGTCTTGTTTCTGTCATCTGAACACGCTTGTGAGACCACACATCTCACTTGTGCATAACCTCAGAATTTGTAGGAAAAAGGAAGGTCGGTGGGAAGACCCCAAACTGAGAAGAGCAATGTGTAAAAATCATCATGTTGCCTTTATTTTTTTAGGTGTTCAGTGCCACCTCTGACTTGCTTTGTTTGGGGCTTTTTGTTCCTTTTTTTAATAGTATCATAAAGCTTCGCTTGAGAGTGAGGTGAACGCATGGTGGTAGAGCTTACCCTGACAAATTCCAGAGTATCAGGGGATCACTTCACATTGGTGAAAAAGATCTTTTGCTGTCAGTGCACCACCCAGTTCCATGACAGACTGAATTATCCTAGCAAAATTACTTTTTTTCCAGTGTCTGTCTTTTTCACAGGATTTTCTTTTAGCACAGCTGTGTTGAGTAGAAAGGTGGTGTTATCTTCTTCCCTTTTCTCTGCGCTTCTAGCTAAGGTAATTATGCTGGCAGAAGTTCTAAAGCAGAAGCAAGTTCTAGCCTTTTTAGAGGTTACTTCAGCTTATGGTAATTTCAGTAATTCAGCAATTAAAGGGATAAACAGCTTGCAAAAGGTAAAACTGTGGACAAATGCAAGGTTTTCAAGTAAGGCAGAATCTTTCTTTCCGGTTGGAAGTGCCAGCACTTCATGTTCCAGCAATTTGTAAACCAGATAAACCCTGATGAACGTGGTAAAAATTGCTTGCTTTTTTTCAGCGAGGATTTCATTGAGGATGCATTTATCATATGGTTGTCAGATGGTTGCTGTATAGAAGGAAAAACTTTTGCAAAGAAGAAGTTTAAGGCAAAGCAGCACTGTGTAAAGGAGTGACAATCCCTCTGTCCCTTTGGTAGGCTTTCTTTTAAGGAGGTGGCATATGAGCTTGAACCTCAGTAGCCTCTGGCATTATGTGAAAGATGCATTGAGTGTAAATATGCCTGGACAGACTCACAATCCTTTATGTAAGTTGATGCCTTTTGGTATTTTTGAAATTTTGAAATACCCAAGATACAGGCTTCTTCTGAAAACTAGCTACTGAGCATGCACAACAGCTATTTTTCATACAGCTTTCATCACTCCAGAGCCTTACAGTGCAGTATTACTGCAGAGTATTGTTACTTAAGATTTATCAACCTTCAGTTCTCAGGGTGTAATGTCTTGGCTGTTTCAAATCGTGTTTGGCTGCCAGCCAAAATCAGAATTTCTTCACAAAACAAGAACTGGAAAGAGCCAACTTGTCTGTGCTGATTTTGATTTATTAAAAGACTCCAGATACAGATTGACATTTTCAGCTCAATATTTGACTTCCACCGGCCTTGAAATGGGAACTGTGAGCACTTTGATAAACAGCTTAAAGGTTTGTCTGGTTTTGCTACAGCCTCTGTGCGTATCTTTTTTGTTTGCTTCCCTCTTTTTAAAATAATAACTGTTTTGCAATGCTTAGTGAATTACCGTGGATGTTGTTAGTATGCTTTAGGGACAGCTTTCCTTCATTCTCCAATAAGGGAAATGCATTGGTCCTGGAAGCATACCAGAAGGAAAGAGCTGCATAACAAGAACAGTCCCTTACTACACTGTTACCAATATAAATAGTTCTCAGATTTTCAGTGAAGGTGGTGTGCCTACCATGTTAGCCTGAGTTGTTTTCTGACTTGTTTAACTAAAATGGCTTCCTCTCCAGGGCAGACAGATCTTTGGTATGGGCCCTGTCTGTTCTGTAGCTCCTGCAGGGCTGAGTGACCTGCCCACAGTGCAGTTAAAACTCAGCAATTGTTTGTAATATTAGCAAATTCTCTTCCAAATGCTTCAGTGTGCTAAAATCCTGGGCAGTGCTTGGCCTCAGGGGTGCTTATTGCTGATCCTACTGCAGGAAGAGGTTCAGTAGGCTGCAGTTTTGGGCTTGCTCAAGGACCCTGGTAAGGCCAGTTTCTGTGCCATGAAATGGGACTGTGCTTTAGCTGTCAAAGAACAGCTATTATGAGGATACCTGTTGGAAATATAAAGGTACAAAAGAGCTGAAATCCCAGAGTGTACACCAATGGAAAGGAAAACCTTGATATGTTCCAGTTGAGCTTATCCAGGCTAGAATCAAGGAAAAAGCAATGTACACAGCAGCTCCCTTGTTGTTTTTGTAGTATGGTCAGGCTCTTAGGAAACCCCCAAGAAGTATGCACTACAAAAACAACCGAAGCATTGCTGGTTAGAGTTGGTATTTTGTAGATTCCAGTCTGGATAATCTCATCTGGGATAGCACATGCTTTTTTCTCTCCAAAGCATATGAAGTTTAGATTTTTTCACACCTGTTATTTGCCAGGTTGAGTGTATATGATTAAATAAAACATAGCAGCCATTCAGCTGGGTCAGGGACGTGGTGATGGTTGTGTTGGATTTATTTATGTCATATTTCTGATCCCAAAATGCAGAGTAGGTATGCTGGGGAATGCTCCTTTCATGTCCTTTGTGGTACCATTTCATAACTGAGCCTCTTGTTTGGTTGTATTTACTGCATAAATTTAAAGACTGGCTGATCAGAAAAAAAGCCAAACCCACCTGTTTTCATCTGAAGCAGTTAAATGCTTTTCTTGAGATTTTTGTATGCAGAATGCTGCCAAAGAAGTTAATGTATTGTAATGTTTGTAAGTGTTTTAGAGAGTCATTTTAGAGTTATGGGCGACCAGTTACAAATTTTATTATGCAAAGTCCCATACAGAATGGAAGGGCTGATATTGTTGAGTTTAATGAAGTTATGCTTAGAGCAAATGCCACTAAAAATAAGTAGGTAATGTTAATGGGATAGTACATTTCCACAGAAAAATGGTTTCCTGCTGTTAGATAAAAAACAGAGACCAAGCAAATGTTTATTTTCCAAGTGGGAGACATAGATCTGATGATGATGTTTCACTAAAATGACTTGTCTGTTAGGCAGAATGACTGATGCAGATGTAATCACTTTAATCTCATTAGTGATATATTAGACAGATTGTTCCCACTGTAATTGTTTTACACCATAGTCTTTATGTCTGTTGATAAGAGACCTCTGATATCTGTTATTCTGTATTCCCACATTACGCCCTCCAATAACAGCTGCTAGGGCTGCTCTCTCTTATCCTTAGCTGAGATCTAAACAACTACAAGCACTACTCATATCCTGAGTGTTAACATAATGAATGCCTGCTCCACTGTGTATGTCCCTGGTGGTGTTACTTTAACAACATCATTTATTTTGCTCGTCTTGCTTTTACTGTATGACTCACACAACATGTCTGAGTTGATTCAAAGTCTTTGAAGAGATGTCCATCTCCTGATCATTCATCTATTAAAAAAAAAATAAATCAAAAGTCAGTATCTTAAGTAGCCCACAGGAAGACAGGCTGAAAGTTAGCTTTTGAGGAGAAGGGATGTATGTGCATCTTGGGGACATGGGTGGAAAGAGATTTTGGGAGGTCACGAGGTACCATTCTGCACTAGCTGAAAATTCAGCATATTGTTTCACCCTAAGATCATAGCTACTGCAGAAAGGCTGGAATGTTTCTCTGACCATTTCTTTTCCCTTTAGGGCCAAGGACAAACCTTTCAGTTTCCCAACCTATTTCCAGAGAAAGAACAAGATGCAGAAACTCGCTCTTTCGATGACTTCAGGGATAAATATATGGAGAAAGAGAAGCTGAAGGAGGAAGGTGACCCCAGACGAGGTGGAGTCCCTGATTGGTTTGGACTTTGATGCAACAAGCCAGCTGCTTTCTTTTATGCTCAGAGGGATTTTGATTAGCACAAGTTCCACTCTTGTCTTCTCTTCTTCTCTTCTTGTAATGACCGAATGTTTATTCTTGAGCAGCCCTTGCTAGCATGTCTTTTTCTCTGGCTGTTTGTACATGACTACAACAAAACGGCCCTGAAGAAATAAAAAGGTAAAACAAATCTGACTGCACCAGGTCTTTTGTGTGAACTTGTGGACTGTGTCTAAAATGTGGAATTCCTTGTTGTCATTTCTGACTATGAGAGTATCATTGTGCTTACCTTTTTTGTGCTGCTGCAGTTGTTTTGAGTAGAAATAGGTATTTAATTTCCTAGGATACATGCAGTTTGTATTGACTAGAATGTCAAAGTCAAGATAGGTGAGCCAGAGGTGGACATGGAAGTGTACAAAACTGGACTCCAGGGTCAGGATATAGGGTTCCCCTGTTGTCACTTACTGTGTCCTACTATCTTATTGCCTTCCTTGAAGTGACCCCTCCTGTCCTGGAGAAATGCATGTGATCTTAATGTACTCTTGTAACTGTTGTGTGGCATTTTGGGGACAGGGTTTATAGGACAGGTTTGTGACTGCACACATATATGTTTGATCCCCTTAAGCATCAAGAAGCAGACAAAGGTGGTGCATGTCTCTCCTTGCTGTTGTGCAGTGCAGGTAGCTGTCTGCACTGTAGCAGCAGCTCTGTGACCAGCCTGCCTTAGGAATGTTTACTGGCATAGTTGTGCTGGTTTCCTTCCTCACTCCACAGCTACCTTGCAGTACTGGCAAGTGTCCTGTGCAGACACAGTTGTATTGGCATAGAAGTGCTTCTGCCAGTGTAGCTTGTGTTGTGCTGAGGACTAATAAAAAGACTCTTTTTACTTTTTCTGGTGTAACTCCCTCTACTTCCAAGTTACTGTTGCCAGCGTAGTGGTAGAACTTTTCTCGGCCTTCTGGGCTGCCACGTTCAGTGTTTTCATTTCTTGGCTTTGTGGCTGTTTCTCCTTGCTCTGATGAGGATATTTCCTTTTTGTCAAGTAATGTGCTCTGCTGTTGTGTCAGAAATAGTGGGGGAAAGGAGGGCTGGGAAGGACTTCACAGATGGAGAAGGGTGTCTCTGCAGGCTGTTTGCTGCAACACAGCACATGCAGGGTTAAATGTATAGCTAATGTTCCCCTGGCTTTTGAATTCTGCCACTTGGAGCAATTGGCAGGGTAGTGAGTGAGCCCATGCCTTCAGTGCTTCTACCCGGGTGCTCTCCTTTATTGTTCTGTGTCTGAACTTCTTGTTTGGACAGCTAGCAAGATGTTTACAAGGAAACAGCTGTTCTCCAGAGAGTCAATCCAAGTAGGATTTTACGCACCCCCTTCTGTTCATTAGTCACCTCTTTATCCCTGCTACTTTCCTTGTGCATGACAGTCCACCTCCTTCTGTGGTTTGTTGCTTACACCCCCCTCTTTGTCCACTTTCCAAGGGGGATCGTGTATGATCTAAGTTAGCTGGTACTTAAACAGAGAGATGCTCTTAGAGAGGAGGGAGATAAGGGAGGATTTGCTACTCCCAGCCTGCCAGCAGAGTTACAATAGCAGATATGGAAAAATACTGACTTCACTGAAAACAGTTCATGTGTTTGGCATATCTGCAAAGGCAACATTTCCAGAGTTTCGTAGTGACATGTGAAACTCCAGGTTAAATCAGGAGCTGGCCTGCAGATTTAAAGTAGGGTGACGGAATTTTTCTGGGTGCAAGGGTCTCTCTGCTGTACACAGTCTCCTCCTCCCCCCTCCTTTGTTTAATACATTTTTTAAAGGAGCTGTTTCTCAAACTCACAGATCGGTATGGAGATGACCTACATTGCAGCTTGGGCTATGTTCCTTCAATATTATGGAATTTGCTATTTGTTCTTCACTGTCCTTTGTGGTTATTTCCAATGTGGGTAACTTGATCTTTTTCACCATGGTGAAAATAGAAAGGGCTCACCTAGTGCTGCCATATGTCTTCCCAAGTGGTTGGTCAGCTTTGAGCAAGCAAACAGGTATATATTAGTTCTGGATAAATGAGGCTGCATTAGGTATAACAGCAAAGATAGACTTAACCATCACCCTCTGTCTTCCCCATTAATGGTCAGGAGTTGGAGTTGCCAGCTTCTGTACTGGTGTTGAGGACCCAAGATGAGTGAAATTTATTTGTGTCCCAAATGTGCTCTAGGCTCAGCGAGTATCAAAGCCCCCATGCTTTGCTGCTCTGTGATTTCTCCATGGGCAATTAATTTCTAGCTCATGTTCAAGGCAGGTTTCTGTTTAGAGTAGCACAAAAGGGAAGAAACAGAGATGCAAATACACCCATATCTGTATGAAGTTGCTGTAACCAAATTCTGGCAGATACTCAAGCTGCATAAGAGAGCAATCTTGTAATCCTATAGAAGGGTTTGAGTTGGAAGGGACCTAAAATATCACCTAGTTCCAAGCCACTGTTACTGGGCAGGGACTCATTCCTCAATGTTACTTGCTACCTCTAAAACAGTATTCCTGTGAAATTAAGGTAAGATTAAAAAAAAAAAAAAAAGAAAAGAGCCAACATTATTTTGCTTTAATGCTCCCAATTGCTATGGAAGTGGGATTAAAAAGATCTTGAGTCTTTCCCAGTCCCTTGTTGAGCAGTGTTTCTGAGGAAGTGTTAGTGGTTAGTATGATCTGGTGCTTCAGTGCTTCATATAAATCCCATCCCCCAAGCTGTACAGGTGGGCTCAAAGATAACAGAGAGGATACTTGAATACAAAGGCACAGATTGTATCAGGTGTACCAGAGAGAAGTACAGCAAACGAGTGCTGAAACTAGGACAGGGACTCTGAGTTGTGTTCAATGTACTGTGCTCCTTCCAGCACATCCTGATGTTTGCTTTGGGTGATGTAAAGGGTCAGCAGCTCCTGAAGTCACATCTAGCCCTGCTGTCAGAGGTGTTGAGCTGCCCTTGGCTATGTCAGTGGCCATACCTGTGGGCCAAGGATGTGCATATACACACGAACAACTTCTCCAAGGACCAGAGTAATGACTTGGTGGAAGAGACTGATGTTCACTGTGGTGCAGGAGAAGCCAGGTCCTGCCCTTGGCGTGCACAGCTCTGCAGCTGCTTTCTCTGACGTGCAAGGGAGATGCTGAACGCAGTTTCTTTCCTCTCTGAACGTGTGCAACCCCCTAAAGAGAGTAAAGTGCAGGAACAACCAGCGGATGTGCAGCTGGCTGGGCTGGCTGGTCTGGTGGAGAAAGGCATCTGGCTATGCTGAGTGGGTGCTATCCCAGCAATACCAGCCAGCTATCCCAGCAGTACCAGCACACTTCAGAGGGAACATGTAATTTCTTCTGTTTTTTTTATGAAACAAACCAAAATGAATTGCAGACAGTGCAGAGGTGACTATCTAAGTGACTCCCCTAACATTACACCTTAGAAATGAGTTTTGTGTTGTAGGTGGTGCTTTGGTGGGCAATAGGGACAGGTTCCTGCAGATAACAAAGGTACCAATTCTTGTAACCATTTGTTATCACCTGAGCCTCGCTGTGTGACCGCAAAAGGTTCAGCACAGCTGTAAGTGGTTAGACAGAAAGCTGTGGCAGCTTTATCTTCTGTGTTACTTAGACTATAGAATCATAGAATGGTTTGGATTGGAAGGGACCTTTAAAAATCATCTAGTCCATCTATCTTGCAATGAGCAGGAATGTCTTCAACTAGATCAGGTTGTTTAGAGCACAGTCCAACATGTCCTTGAATGTTTCTAGGAATGGGGCATCCACCACAGGTTTTCCTCTGGGAAACCTGTTCCAGTGTTGCACCATCCACATGGTAAAAATCTTCTTCCTTATATCTAATCTGCACTGACCCTCTTTTAGTTTCAATCCATTATCCCTGGTCCTATTGCAAGTGATCCTGCTAAAAAATCTATCCTCATCTTTCTTATAGGCCCCCTTTCAATACTGAAAGACTGCAGTGAGGTCTCCACAGAGTCCACTCCAGGCTGAGCAACCCCAACTTGCTCAGCCTTTCCTCATGGGAGAGGTGTTCCATCCCTCTAATCTCTTCATGTCCCAGTTCAGGAGCAGGGCCTTGCACTTGGCCTTGCTGGATCTCACAAGATTCCCACTTTTTGATCTTGTCCAGATCCCTGTGAATGGCATCCCATCCCTCAGGTATGTCAATGCATCACTCAGCTCCCAAATTAGTTGGGATCCCCAACTGGGACCCCCAAATTATGCATCGGTGACAGAAAAATGTATTCAGTGTTTTGATCTACTCTTGACCCACTGTCATTAGCAGTGCTGAGTGAATGAAGCAGTAGGAAAATTTGGCTTACTTTATCCAAGGTAGATTTGCTGTGGAAAATATCTTCATGGCTGGGGAATTCCTGCTCCTTCCAGTTTATCCCAATGGCATCAAAGCTGGGGTTTTTATTTCAGAACTATTTTACTTATTTGAATTTTCAGGCTGTAGGACACGCTATTGCTTCCTCAGCTCTGCTGTGTTTGTGGAACGGCGCGCAGAGAGCGGTGAGGGTTGGAGAGAGGACGTCTGCTCAGTGTGTGCAACAGGGCAGGGTACACAAAGCAAACACTATTTTTCCTGGGAGGACTGAAAGCTGTAAAACCATTATCTTGACAATGCTGCTTTCTGCTGAAGTAGAGTTCAAGGTCTGCTCAGAGTCCAGTTTAAAGCAGTTGTCTGAGAATGGCTTTCCAGGGTAGCTTATATGCCAAGGCTCATAGGTACCACAGCTTAAAAGGAACATTGTGATAATTCCTTTCAACCTCCTGAACGACATACACCATAAAATTTCATGCTGTACTTTCTGTGCATAGGCCAGAAGCTTGTGGTTGAATGCTATCCGGAATAGATTTCAAGGTTTGAACTTGACCAGCATTGCAGGACCAAGTAATTTTCCTTGAATAAGCGGGGCCCAAAGAGCATGAAAGTCACCAACATGTCATTTGTCCTGTGAATTACGCAGAGTGGTGGTAATAGGGAAAACTAAGCATTGCTGCTCAGGAATCATGTGTTTGTAGAGAAGGGAAGTAATTTCTGTAAATATTATTTTCTTTAAATGTAAAAGGTTTTAGACTAGATAAGATGACATAGTGGTTGAGCCATTTCTTCTGAAGTGATTTATGACTGTTTAGACAGAGTTTAGCTCTTTGTG